GTATGTATGTATGTATGTATGTATGTATGTATGTATGTATGTATGTATGTATGTATGTATGTATGTATGTATGTATGTATGTATGTATGTATGTATGTATGTATGTATGTATGTATGTATGTATGTATGTATGTATGTATGTATGTATGTATGTATGTATGTATGTATGTATGTATGTATGTATGTATGTATGTATGTATGTATGTATGTATGTATGTATGTATGTATGTATGTATGTATGTATGTATGTATGTATGTATGTATGTATGTATGTATGTATGTATGTATGTATGTATGTATGTATGTATGTATGTATGTATGTATGTATGTATGTATGTATGTATGTATGTATGTATGTATGTATGTATGTATGTATGTATGTATGTATGTATGTATGTATGTATGTATGTATGTATGTATGTATGTATGTATGTATGTATGTATGTATGTATGTATGTATGTATGTATGTATGTATGTATGTATGTATGTATGTATGTATGTATGTATGTATGTATGTATGTATGTATGTATGTATGTATGTATGTATGTATGTATGTATGTATGTATGTATGTATGTATGTATGTATGTATGTATGTATGTATGTATGTATGTATGTATGTATGTATGTATGTATGTATGTATGTATGTATGTATGTATGTATGTATGTATGTATGTATGTATGTATGTATGTATGTATGTATGTATGTATGTATGTATGTATGTATGTATGTATGTATGTATGTATGTATGTATGTATGTATGTATGTATGTATGTATGTATGTATGTATGTATGTATGTATGTATGTATGTATGTATGTATGTATGTATGTATGTATGTATGTATGTATGTATGTATGTATGTATGTATGTATGTATGTATGTATGTATGTATGTATGTATGTATGTATGTATGTATGTATGTATGTATGTATGTATGTATGTATGTATGTATGTATGTATGTATGTATGTATGTATGTATGTATGTATGTATGTATGTATGTATGTATGTATGTATGTATGTATGTATGTATGTATGTATGTATGTATGTATGTATGTATGTATGTATGTATGTATGTATGTATGTATGTATGTATGTATGTATGTATGTATGTATGTATGTATGTATGTATGTATGTATGTATGTATGTATGTATGTATGTATGTATGTATGTATGTATGTATGTATGTATGTATGTATGTATGTATGTATGTATGTATGTATGTATGTATGTATGTATGTATGTATGTATGTATGTATGTATGTATGTATGTATGTATGTATGTATGTATGTATGTATGTATGTATGTATGTATGTATGTATGTATGTATGTATGTATGTATGTATGTATGTATGTATGTATGTATGTATGTATGTATGTATGTATGTATGTATGTATGTATGTATGTATGTATGTATGTATGTATGTATGTATGTATGTATGTATGTATGTATGTATGTATGTATGTATGTATGTATGTATGTATGTATGTATGTATGTATGTATGTATGTATGTATGTATGTATGTATGTATGTATGTATGTATGTATGTATGTATGTATGTATGTATGTATGTATGTATGTATGTATGTATGTATGTATGTATGTATGTATGTATGTATGTATGTATGTATGTATGTATGTATGTATGTATGTATGTATGTATGTATGTATGTATGTATGTATGTATGTATGTATGTATGTATGTATGTATGTATGTATGTATGTATGTATGTATGTATGTATGTATGTATGTATGTATGTATGTATGTATGTATGTATGTATGTATGTATGTATGTATGTATGTATGTATGTATGTATGTATGTATGTATGTATGTATGTATGTATGTATGTATGTATGTATGTATGTATGTATGTATGTATGTATGTATGTATGTATGTATGTATGTATGTATGTATGTATGTATGTATGTATGTATGTATGTATGTATGTATGTATGTATGTATGTATGTATGTATGTATGTATGTATGTATGTATGTATGTATGTATGTATGTATGTATGTATGTATGTATGTATGTATGTATGTATGTATGTATGTATGTATGTATGTATGTATGTATGTATGTATGTATGTATGTATGTATGTATGTATGTATGTATGTATGTATGTATGTATGTATGTATGTATGTATGTATGTATGTATGTATGTATGTATGTATGTATGTATGTATGTATGTATGTATGTATGTATGTATGTATGTATGTATGTATGTATGTATGTATGTATGTATGTATGTATGTATGTATGTATGTATGTATGTATGTATGTATGTATGTATGTATGTATGTATGTATGTATGTATGTATGTATGTATGTATGTATGTATGTATGTATGTATGTATGTATGTATGTATGTATGTATGTATGTATGTATGTATGTATGTATGTATGTATGTATGTATGTATGTATGTATGTATGTATGTATGTATGTATGTATGTATGTATGTATGTATGTATGTATGTATGTATGTATGTATGTATGTATGTATGTATGTATGTATGTATGTATGTATGTATGTATGTATGTATGTATGTATGTATGTATGTATGTATGTATGTATGTATGTATGTATGTATGTATGTATGTATGTATGTATGTATGTATGTATGTATGTATGTATGTATGTATGTATGTATGTATGTATGTATGTATGTATGTATGTATGTATGTATGTATGTATGTATGTATGTATGTATGTATGTATGTATGTATGTATGGGAAAAAACTGACAAGCGAACGCTGGAAAGAGCTAGGCCAGCAGACCGCCATAGCCGAAGGCAGCGGCCGGCCGGCCCAAGAAGAGGCCTGGGGAGGAGGTTTTTTTAGAGAGAGAGAAAGAGAGAGAGAGAAAAATGTTTTTGTGTTTTGGCAAAGTATCTAGGGACCTTATTGTTTAGAATCGGGGAAGATTCCTACTGGACTTCGTGTTCATCTCGATTATTTTAACCATTTTTCAGGAACGAAGTTTGGAATGCTGGATTGAGGATTGAAGAGTTTATTTTCTATTATACGTCATAGTGTAAATGAGAAAAGCTTGTTGTAATGAGAGATTCATGTGTATCTCAATGTGAATTTTGACATGTATTATTGTTGTATTTATTCGAGAGAGAATATTATTATTGTTACTCCATGTAATGAGTATTTGTAATTAAAATTTGTAGTTAATAAAATGGACTTGTATTAAAGATTTTGGTTATATACGACATAGAAAGTATGTCACTAATGTTTAATTTATTACTTTTTACAACTTTACCTGTATGTCGTAAATGATGCTCAACTTTCCATGGCATGTTATATAATGATATTTGTGTGCATATCGTGAAAGAGTTTTTACGGCATGCATTGCAAGTCGTAAAAATCCAATTTTGTTGCAGTGTGAATAAAAAACGTTAAATATTTGCAGAAATCAATTTTTTTGAATCCAATGATGCTCAATTTTCCTAAAACCTAGCGTTGCCTAATAACATAACACTATTTGAATTTTAACTTTTCATTTATTTTCTGGATCAATTTTTTGAAACCTATTCTAGGTACTTACATCACAAACTAATTGCTCACCATGGATACAATATCTTGTTAATGATTTCAGGTTCTTTCTTTAGCGTGATTGGACTGTGCAGACGAACTCAGTTGCTGATGCTATGGCAAAGTTGGCACAATCATTTTCATAGGAATCTCTTGTATTATATCCTAAGTTTCCTTTCTTGGCATCTCCATTTTTGAGGTAGGATTTTTGTAGGAGAGCTGCCCCATATTATGTAGCTCGTTTATCTACTTAAATAAATAAAAAAGGAAATTAGTAAAGCATCCCTCTCTAACCTTGTGTAGTAGGAGTGGTTCAAGATTTTTTTTTTATTAGCTAAAGTTTCTCAACATTTTCACAGAGAAAATTTGATTTAAAGAAATTTCGCCCAGCTCAGAGAAATTTCCCTGTGAAATCAGATAAATTTGTCTGTAAAAATTGAAATTTCTTTTGAGTCTGGAAAAACTTTTCTAAGCCTCCGTTTGGGAAGTGGGTTGGCTTTTTGACTTTTTGGCTTTTTGGCTATTTTAGCCTGGGCTATTTTAGCCTGGTTTGGGAAGGGCTTTTTGACTTTTTGACTTTTTTGGCTTTTTTTGTGAGAGAGGATTGTAATGATTATGGGTTGGATTTGATGTTTTGTTTTTTGTGGCTAAAATAGCCTATTTTGTTTTTTGTGGCTATTTTAGCCAAAAAAGCCTGGGCTTTTTCTTGCCAAACGGAGGCTAAGTTGAATTTCTCTGTAGAAATGTTGAGGGACCTTAACTACTATGAAAATATTATATGTCTTTTATCTTATAAAATTTTAATATCAAGGACCTTAAAAAAAAATTTATAATAAAACTGCCTCTTCAATAACAATAAATAAATAAAAACTTTTCCATGCCACATATACATAACTTTATAAGGCTATTTTCACAATAGACTAAAATAATCAAAAAAAAAAATTTGCAAAAATACTAAAAAAATCAATTAATTCACAAGAATATTCTGCACTATATTTTTGTACACGTCTTTTTATAAAAATGAAAGAGACTCTTTCTAATAAAAAGATTAAAAAAAAAAAACTTACATTTTCGCCTATGGGCTTGGTTTTACTTATTTTATTTTATTTTTATTTTTATTGGTGAAGGAAGTGTTGGATTGGAACTGAGGAGCATAGAAAAACTGTTTAAGAAAATAAATAAATCTCTCAAAGTTTGATGCTTACAATAAAATTAATCTTGAGTCTTTAATTTTCTTGATTTAAATTCTTATTTTTAATTTATTTTAAATTTAAATTATTTCTTATTTTTGTTAAGTAAAGTAAAATTAATAAAAATAATAATATTTTCGTTAAAAATAATAATTAAGCTAAAAAAGAAAAGGAATATTTTAAATGCTCAATTTAATAACATGCATGAAAAGAAATAGAAATATATAAGGTGCATCCATTAAACAGTTAATGAAGCTGTCAAAAAGATACAAGTATAACACTCTGGCTCTTTATTTTTAGTAATGCAGGTTCCATTACAGTATTATTTCATTAGTGATCTCTAGTAGCTGACATTGTTGTGTAGGGATTCTAATAGTCAGGATGTTGAGGAGAGTAGTCGTCGTGGACAGTTTGACGGAGGCGGGGGTGGTGAAGGCGACGGGGGCGGTGGTGGAGGAGACGGAGGTGGTGGTGACGAGGGTGGTGGAGGGGGTGGTGAAGGCGATGGTGGTGGTGGCGATGGGGGTGGTGGAGGGAATGGGCATGGGAATGGTCGGCATGGGTGTGGGAATGGTGGGCATGGGAATGGTCGGCATGGGAATGGGAATGGGAATGGGAATGGGAATTTAGGATGATGTGGTAAGTTATCATCATCAGCAGTATATACAGTAGTTGCCATAGCAATGAAGATTGCTAGCACCACCCATAACTGCACTTGTTTCTCTTGCCTTGCCATTTCAACAAACAAACAGTGATGAAGTTGTGTTTTGATATCTTCAATATCTGATTGAAGTAAAATCAAACTTTGATAATATCAACTACTACTGGTTTTAGTTCACCCCATTGCAAGACATTTTTACGGTTTAGTTTATTTGATGGCAACACACTAACCTATCCCTCACTTATATAGATTGTCCTTAAGAGATCTTTTGAAAGTAGTTAATGTTGTGCCTGATTTGTTATCAAAGTATGACTTTTCTTTTTGGTATAAATTATACTTTTTCACTCTCATAAGTTGACTTAAATTTTATTTTAGTTTTTATTATTTTAATTTGAATAATTTAATTTCCACAATTTAAGTTTAGTTCCAACGTAGTTTTTTTTGTTAATTTTTTTCACATTTATAATTCAAGAGAGTGGCACTTTTCACAAAATTATTAATTTTAACATCCAATTTAAAAGGAAAGACTAAATTGAAATTAAATTTAAAATGTATAGATCAAATTAAAAAAATTAAAACCAAAACCAAATTTAAATCAATAAATAAGAGGAAAAGAAATAACTTACCCAACATTTTATAATACCATGAATGTCAATAGGCTAAATTTGTACATGCAAAAAGAGCCCCAACTGTATAGACCCCTACCCAAAATGTATGCCTCCACATCTAATGGCCTCTAGAATTTGTTCCAACCCCACCCAAACCCTCACTTAAAATTTTCAAAATTAATTGCTGCCATATTACCACTAATAGCACTAATGCATTAAAAAAGTAAAAAAAAAAAAAAAAAAAACAACTCAAAGACCAAAACATCACATCATTAATGACGGGACCCACTGCCACCTAATTAGTGGGAGCACTAATTAGTGCTCCCAAGCATTTTTCTATATAAGAAGGGTCCCCATGAACTTTTCCACCTATGCCTAGAGCTAATGCAAGCCCTGATGAGGAATGACTTTGAGGTGAGCAAGGATCCTCTAGAGTGATTTTTCCCTAAAGTTTTCTAAAGTGCTACAGTGTATGGTTGAGATTTATTGGCAAGTCACATCAGAAAAATTGATGTGACTTGCCAGTAAATCTCAACCATACACTGTAGCACTTTAGGAAACTTTAGGGAAAAATCACTCTAGAGGATCCTTGCTCGAATGGGAATGGGAATCGGCATGGGGGTTTAGGACGATGTGGTGGACGTGGACGTGGAAAGGGGTGCAAGTTATCATCATCAGCAGTGTATACAGTAGTTGCCATAGCAATGAAGATTGCTAGCACCACCCATAACTGCACTTGTTTCTCTTGCCTTGCCATTTCAACAAACAAACAGTGATGAAGTTGTGTTTTGATATCTTCAATATCTGATTGAAGTAAAATCAAACTTTGATAATATCAACTACTACTGGTTTTAGTTCACCCCATTGCAAGACATTTTTACGGTTTAGTTTATTTGATGGCAACACACTAACCTATCCCTCACTTATATAGATTGTCCTTAAGAGATCTTTTGAAAGTAGTTAATGTTGTGCCTGATTTGTTATCAAAGTATGACTTTTTTTTTTTGGTATAAATTATACTTTTTCACTCTCATAAGTTGACTTAAATTTTATTTTAGTTTCTATTATTTTAAGTTGAATAATTTAATTTCCACATTTTAAGTTTAGTTCCAACGTAGTTTTTTTTGTTAATTTTTTTCACATTTATAATTCAAGAGAGTGGCACTTTTCACAAAATTATTAATTTTAACATTCAACTTAAAAGGAAAGACTAAATTGAAATTAAATTTAAAATGTATAGATCAAATTAAAAAAATTAAAACCAAAACCAAATTTAAATCAATAAATAAGAGGAAAAGAAATAACTTACCCAACATTTTATAATACCATGAATGTCAATAGGCTAAATTTGTACATGCAAAAAGAGCCCCAACTGTATAGACCCCTACCCAAAATGTATGCCTCCACATCTAATGGCCTCTAGAATTTGTTCCAACCCCACCCAAACCCTGACTTAAAATTTTAAAAATTAATTGCTGCCACCATTTTAATAAAGCTTCCTTGGTCAATATTTGTGTCTATACTACTATATTATATATGAAATTTAATACGGGTGTCTAGTTAAGCACTTTATTTATACACCTACATGTTGCAAGTATTTTATGCCAACAATATTACAAACATAAAAGTTTTGTGGAAGTATCTCTCACGTTTTTATTAGGGGAGATTTTAGTCCAATTTAAGTTCTAAGAAATAATTATAAATAAATAATAAATTGTATGAATATTAATAATTAAAATTATAAATTTTTCTATGACATTCTAACAACTTTTGAAGTTATAACTGAATGATATTTTTTCCTTTTATCAAAAAAAATGAGAAAGAAGGATGTGTACGTGCCAGTGTTTGTGAGAGAAATGCTTTTAGTGATATGTGGAGGGGAAAATTATACTGACATTTCTTGAGGTTTTGAAAAATATAGTAATTAAATCTCATAGTTTTAGCATAATTACGTTTGTCTTCTTTAAAGTTTAATTCATATAACACTTAACTTCTTTTTTTATTTTTATTTTTTTAATTATCAATAATTATATAAATAGAAAAATTGTTGAAAAAAATGATTTTGCAATATTATTTTTCATAAACTTTGAGCTATAATTAATGTAGGACCCACATGCCATTTTTTGGTGAGTTTAAGTGGTGATACATTCATTGCCGTGTGACAAATAAAAATATATAATTAGTTAGTCAAAACTATTTACAAGTAAATGAAAAATTGAATTCAAAGTGAACCTCATGAACTTGGTAAATTATTGTGTGGTTCTCAACTAGTTGTTGTGTATTCTTGTACCACATAGAAAACTTACGAAAATTTTGGAGTGTTTGTAAACTGTTAGATCAGCTCCAATGGCTTGCCATTGCCATTGGAGTTACTATTGCCATAATTTGGTCACTGCATCAATGCAGTGTGCTCCAATGGCACTTTATAGCACCTGTTATATTTGAGAAATGTCAAAGTTTGTGTCAAATTTGACACAAGCTTTGGTATGTGCTATTTGTGTCCGTGAAGTGTAACAAAGCAATTGTTTCCCTTCCTCTCTCCAGTTTTTGTTCATCTTCAGACCATTTCAGCAAACGCACAGAGGAAGAAACGCAGAAATTGGTCTATCGAACGTCCACCCAGACGTCCGAACAAAAACTGGAAAGGCTGAAATGGTCTGAGAAGATGAACAAAAACTGGAGAGAAAGTTTGTTGAAATTTGCCAAAATGACAAATGACCATTGGAGTACCATTATTATAATTTGACAATTGGCAATGCTATAATTACATTTGCCATCGGAGATGCTCTTAGTTGGACAAGTGGGGATGGCTCCAAAGAAAACCGAGTTCTATAAGGTGGGGAGTGATTGGCCAGGGTAAGTTGGCCCTAACTGGACCAAAATCACATAATACCTCCCTTCCCTAGACAAAATTTGAGTTGGATTTCGCTAGCTCAATACTTCACCTTTTAAATTTATATTTTTTTGCTCTAATTCAAATTTCAGATTCAAAATCTTGGGCCAAAAACTTTTGAAATCCAAATTCGAACTCCGGTCACCTTCTACGATCAATCACATCTTTCCAGTACGTGGATGCGACTATAAAGTTGTAACTTTTTGGGTCATCCGAACACATTTCCTTGCCTATATAAAGACAATCCCTTTATTCGTTTTTCTCATTGAATTTGTTCTTTGCTTTTGTCTTCCTCTTCTATTTTAATTCTGAATATTATATATTCTAAGAGTTTGAAATTGTGAGTGTGCAAAGCACAATCTTTGGTTCATTGTACACACAAAATCTATGCATACTCTGTGTTGTGGTGATTGTTGTATCCTAAAGATAGAACATTCATTTTATTTTAAAGACATAGTGTTCAAACACCAGTCCTCAATCACAATTTATTCTTCGCAATATACAAAATGTTTGTAAGTAACTTTGTTATTTATTGTTTATTTACTTAGTTTGATTTTTGGACAAATTATACCTGAGGTCCCTACATTTTACCCATTGTGTCATTTTGCTCACTAAATTTTCATTTGACTCAATTTTGATCCTTACTTTTAAATTTTGTGTTAATTTGATCCAATTGATAATATTGTTAGTGATATTTTAGGAAAAATTGATACATAATCACAAATCAACATCTAGGGGATTTCTAAAATTTTCAATTGGTATCAGAGCATGTCGTTCTATTTTTTTAAAAAAAATATTCTTTTAGAACGAGATCTTGTTTGATTTGTGATAATGGATTCAATTCGTGAGGGAAATTCTATGGTTCGACCACCCCTACTTGACGGATCTAATTATTCTTTTTGGAAAGCTCGAATGAGATCGTTTTTGAAATCTATAGATGAAAAAGTTTGGCAATCTGTCATGAATGGGTGGACTGAACCAACAATTACCATTGATGAAGTAACTTTCCCCAAACCAATTGAAAAGTGGGACACTATTGATTACCAAAATAGTAGCTAGAATAGTAAAGCTATCAATTCTCTCTTTTGCGCTGTCACACCTGAAGAGTTTAGTCGAATTTGCAATTGTGAAGTCGCAAAAGAGGCTTGGGATATCTTACAAACTATTCATGAGGGCACTCCTTCTGTTAAACGCTCAAAACTTCAAAGGCTCACATCTAGTTTCGAAAACCTTTCAATGAAAGATAGTGAGACCTTTGATGAATTTTATGCGAAGTTCAGTGACATTGTAAATTCCAGCTTCAATTTAGGTGAAAAAATTCCAGAATCCAAAATTGTGGGAAAAATTTTGAGATCCTTGCCCGATCGGTTCCAACCAAAAGTTACGGCTATTGAGGAGGCTCAAGATGTTGACAACCTCAAGCTGGATCAGTTGGTTGGAAACCTAAAGTTTGCATGAGGCATTGGAAAATGC